CTTCCTTTCTCTCTCTCTTTCTCCTTCCTTCTTTCTTTCTTTCCTTCTTTCTTTCCTGTGCTGGTCCTAAGGCTTAAACTCAGAGCCTGGCTGGCTTCCAACTGCGATGCTTAAGTCTCAGCCTCCTGAGTGGCTAGGGATTACAGGCATTAGCCACCAGCATCTGCTTTTTAGAGTATTTGGAAGAATGTTTGGCATTGTTATGTCTTCCCTTCCATCTTTCATGTTATCTTGTCCTTGTTTTAAAAATATGCTTTGGTGAAGGAATTTAAAATAGGAAAGTATAATGTAGTTTTATTGACTGATAGTAACACATCCTGCCACAAGGCAGCAGGCGTCCAAAGGCTCCTTCTTTGGAAGGAGACTGGTAATTTGCATTTAATCTTTATTCAGCTGTGAGTTCCACTGCAGGAACAAGGGGTGGAATGCAAAGTGTTAGCATAGGCCAGCCACCCTACCTCCCTGACTCAAAGTAGCTAATGTCCACTGATTTCTTAACATGTACTACAGATCGTTCGAATCATCTCTTATCTACTCATTCATGGAGGCCTCACACTAACTCTGTTATAGAGTTGCTGCTATATCATGTAAACAACCTCATGAATGTGAATGCCCAAATGTCACGTGGTAATGAGTGGCAGATGAGAGACAAGATTCATATCTGGGTAACCAAAAGGCCCACCTCTCATTTCTAGTATTGAAACTTTAGTATTACCAATATTAATAATATTATGCATTCTTACGTAGATCATCCTAATGGATAGAGACATTTCCAAAATACAAAATGAAGATTCTAGTTTCAGTAATGTTGAGTTGTTAGAATAATACCTGTTTCTAATCCATTGCAAAATTTAGAATATGTTCATAACTTTTTCTTTGTTGCCCATACCCTCATCTCTTTTTTATATCTAATGTTATTTATTCTGCATATACTTTCCCCTTTCTTCTGTTCTCTTTTTTTAAAAAAATATTAAATAGTTGTAAAAAGGAGTTGCCAGTAAAACAGTTTATAGATACAATGCATCTTGATCAGTGTCATCCCTTCAACAATCTATTTCCTTATTTTGGGGTTCTTGAACATGTAGCCTTCTGTTCATGAGGTAAGACTTGAACAATTTGAGCCATTTCCCTATCTATTTTATGATCTAGCTATTTTTTTCAGTTCAGGGCTAATATAACCTGTGATCCTTCTACCTATGCCTCACAGGAGAAAAATAGAAGAGATGTAACCAGGACGCCCAGTTTATTTATTGAGGAGGGGTGGTTGGAGAGAATCTAAGAAAACTTTTGCCTGGATTGGCTTCAAACCATGCACCTCCCAATCTCCCCCTATCAAGTAGCTGGGATTACAGATGTGTCCTTACAAATATTTAAAAATTGTGATATCGAGGATCAAACCCAGGATTTCACACACCCCTAAAACACTCTATATCCCCCAGCCAAACTGTTTAAAAATTTTAAAACTGTGTAATCCAAATATCCAGAGTAACTTGGCAAGAGAGCCTATCCACTCATAATGGACATTTAGTGTTTGCAACTATTCGTGGATATGCTATTTGCTACCTTTGTCCATTCTAAATAATATTTAGTCAGGTTGTTTTACTGTGTGGCAGGTATAGTTTCATCTTTATTGACTTCTTTTTTAGCACAAGTAATATGTTATTAGTATGAGTATTATATTATTACTACTTAAAAGGTAAAGGGCTCAGAGACAAGGCAACTTTGTGGTCAGATGTGGTCAGGTATTCAGTGGAGCTGGGCACTCCAGGTCAGCTGATTTCAGACTTAAAACTTGAAATCATTATACTAACACTGTTCCAAGGAGGCATTTAAAACTATGGGGAAAATAATATAGTTTACTGTCTTCTGTTCATTTTCCTAATACAAAGAATCAAGGTATTGCTTGGACCATGGGTCCTGGCAGAGCTACCTTTTCCCCATTGTTGTTGTACCATACTGCAATCCTCAAAATACTTGCCTTTCTCCCTTTACAAGCAGTAGTAAAATCCTTGAAATGGAGTTTTGCCTTTATTTTTGACTTCACAGAATTGACACAATATCTGAGGAGCTTAAAGGTGTATGGTAAATGAACAAATGAAGGCAGTATTAAAAGATGCTTTGATTAAGCTTTTTCTTCCTTGAAATAGGTTGATACCCTCATAATGATGTATAAAACCCACTGCCAGTGTATCCTGGACAATGCAATTAGTGGAAACTTTGAAGAGGTAAGGATGACAAAGAATACTGTCTTGCCTAGATTATACATGCTTTTATGTCCTGCTCATAATGAGTTCATCTGACAGAAAAATCTTAACATATGTTTGTTCTCCTCTTTAACTAGATCCAGCATTTTTTATTGCATTTTTGGCAAGGGATGCCTGATCATCTTCTTCCCTTGCTTGAAAATCCTGTCATCATTGACATTTTCTGTGTTTGTGATTCAATTCTTTATAAGGTAAGCTCTTTGGGACATCTTAAGCACAAAGCATTTATTTCTTTAAATAAAATTCGATCTAAATTCCTGCAATCCATTTATCATAAATTTAATTCTGACTTGAGATACACTTTCTGACCAGAAAACAAGAATCATCATAGCACATTCTTACTAATGTATGTAGTTGATAGATTATTTTTGTCTGTAACAAAAGCTTTCAATTTTAATAGAAATTTGCATTAAGTAAAACAAACTTGGTCTCTATTTATAGCCAAGAGTGGTTCTAAATGTGTTTTACCCATACTTTTCCCATGTTTGCTAATGTATGGCCATTTCATTAATTTATATTAACTTTCTAAGGTGTTTTCAGATGAAAAAACACCAAGTTCATTTCATGTCCTTAGTGCTTTAAAGAAAAGCAGAAATAGGCACCTTGTAGGATGAATGCCTTGAAAATCTTGAAAGATCAGCTTCTATGCATTATTGCCCAACTGTGGTTCTTAACCAAGTAATATTCCACAAATGTCTTATGAAGTCCCACAAAGATACTCAGAGTGAAGTTGAGCTGTTTGGCCTTTCAGTCAAACATATAACAGGAGGGAAAATACCTAAGCCAAGCTGCACAGCAACAAGATCCAAGAAGGCGATAATTACTGCAATGAAATCCAGAAAATGGAAACAAGAGGATATTTTCTTTGTTTTTGTTTTCTTTTCTTTTTTGTCTCGTTAGTTCATGTAGGTAAAGGGGCACAGAAATGGAGGGGCAAAGGGTGAAAAAATGCAGCAGTGGTTCTCACTAGACACTGTGTTGAAAAGGAATGATTGGGGATGAGAGACAAAAACTGAGAGAGTAAGGGAAGGGGTGGCATTGTCCAAATAGAAATGCACTCTTCACCTGACTTATTTAACTATAACCCCTCTGTTCATCACCCTTATAATAACAATTAAAAACAACCCAATAAATCTGAAATAGTACGTCAGTATGTCCTCATATAAAGTTATTTGTAAAAAAAACAAAAAGTCATTGCAGTAAAGACCTGGAGCTCATGAACACACATCACCATCAAAGCAAAGCAAATCTGTTAGGACTGTAATTGAGAAATTCCTTTAAAATGTATTTCTGCTCTGTTCTTTTGAGTCCAAAACAAAATTCCCAAATATAACTCTCTTAAGATAAATTCAGTTTCTTTTTCTCATGGTAAACCCAAAGACAGAGAGCATTGTAACCACAGCGGTATAAAATGAACTTCTGTGAGATCATCTCACACCTAGAGAATGGCTGCTAGTTAATAAAACTGTACATGATTACAAAGGCCAGTCCACTGGTAATTAACATTAGGTACCTGAACAATACTCTCTTTTGTTTCATTGTCTCATGTGCAACCAGCACACAAATCCTGTCATTTTAGAGAAAAATGATAGCTTTCAGAAAAGATTGATATTATTCAATAGGAAGCTAAGAAGAAAAGGTAATTGACATATACTGTGTCTTGCTATATAAATATATCACTAACCATTGCTGTGATTAAGGTTCTTACAGACATACTCATTCCTGCTACAATGCAAGAAATGCCTGAAAGGTAAGTTCAGCGAGAGTGACAGAAAGGGCAGGTAGGGGAGGGATGAGTGAGAATGTTGAAAGGGATGACACTGATGATCAAGATACCTTGTATTCATTAACTGCTTATTAAATGGCAACTCCTTTGTACAACTACTTAATGATAACAACCCCCTCAGTATTGGTTCTCATAAACACAACACTTTCTCCTTATACATTATACTAAAGGGAAACATCAGGTAGTGATTTATTCACTTATCAAGAATACTTTTCTATTGTTGCTTTGTATGTCCCTCCCCCACAGTATAACCCCTGCTTTCACTGTATTTGATGTCGGTATAATTTGTGGAGGGGAATGGGAAAAACAAATCGTTTAAATAAGGATACAGGTGGACCCATTGCAACAATGAGATGTACAAGTCGTTATGTCGAAAACGAACTTTACAACTTTGGTGGGGGCGGGCAGGGGGGAAGGAGAGGGTTGGGTGGAGGGGCGGGGGGGGGGGGGGGGGGGGGGAGGATGGGATGGGAAGGATAAACAAAGGAGGAGGCTACAATGCTTGATAGAAATGTACTCATTATCTTGCCCATGTAATTGTAACCCCTCTGTACAGTATTTTCACAATTAAAAAAAAAAAATACTTTTCTAGGGCTGGGAAGGTGGCTCAGTGGTAGAGTGCTTGCCTTGCATGCCTGAGGCCCTGGGTTCGATTCCTCAACACCACATAAGCAAAAAGAAAAAACCCGGAAGTGGCACTGTGGCTCAAGTGGTAGAGCGCTAGCCTTGAGCTGAAGAGCTGAGGAACAGCGCCCAGGCCCAGAGTTCAGGCCCCACAACTGGACCCCCCCCTCCAAAAAAAAAGAATACTTTTCTAGGGGCTGGGAAGGTGGCTCAGAGGTAGAGTGCTTGCTTTGCATGCCTGAGGCCCTGGGTTCGATGCCTTAGCACCACATAAGCAAAAAAAAAAAAAAAGAATACTTTTCTAGTTCTGGCTTAGTATATTTGCTGCTACTAGTTCTAGTTCTGGTAGCTTATAGACTAAAATTAGAACTATACAAAGATTAGCATGGCCCCTGTATGAGGGTGACAAGTAAAAAAGACTTTGCTACTTTGGTCTCCGTATCAGCTTGAAGAGGTGTGCCTCAATATTTGTATCTGAACCTCAGTTCTTAAAAGGGGGTAGAATAAAGCTTGATATCCCTTTAATCTGAGGGCTGCCTGTTTCATTATGGTATTTGCATATAATGAATTTTAAGCACATTTATCTTCTCCCTGCGTTCTTCTTTCTCCTTTCACTTGTCATCTTATTCTAAATGGAGAACCTTCTCTATGAGTAAGCTAATTAATATGAAGTTGAGCCTAGATTTTAATGCTCAAACTCTGCCTCTTTTCCTTTATCATTTTACTGCTCCCTAATATATGCACCACCACAAATATACTTAGAGTTGTTTTATTGACATGTGAAGATTATATTCCCATACACATAGCCAACATTTGTAAATTTTTACACTGGGCCTGTAATTACTATGCTTTTGATGATTAATGTCACAAAATTATATTTGGATTATAAAAATATGCTGCCAAAATACTAAATAAATAGAATGTTTTTACCCAAGTGTCATATCTCTTAGCAAGCCAAGATTTGCAATAGTAACCCTGCACTTACATTTTCTTAGAAATACATTATTGTATAAAATGGTTGAATAGTGACTTAATAAGAAAGAATACTTATTGATCCCTCCCTTTAGGCCAGGCTTTCACCTAGGCATTTTCTTAAATTATTTTGCATCATTTTTATAATAACCCTATAACCAAACACTATTTTTATTCCTGTTTAGCAGGTGAGAAAACTTGAGCTTGAGGGAATGATTTTTTTTGCCAGTCCTGGAGCTTGAACTCAGGGCCTGGGCACTGTCCTTGAGCCTCTCTGTGCTCAAGGCTAGCATTCTATCACTTCAGCCAAAGTGCCACTTTGCGGCTTTTTTCTGTTTATGGGTACTTTCATGTATGTTAGGCAAGCAATCTACCACTAAGCCACATTCCCAACCCGGAATGAAATATTTTGAGTAAGATGACAAATGGCCCTCATACTACATAGCAAATTCAGCCCTACTCTGAATCTGTCTGACTTCAAATTCATGCTTTTGGGAGGAGAGACTAAAAATAGTATATCACTATTAAAATATGTTTATTCAATGCATTTTTTGAACAATGTACATTTAACACATAAAGGGTTGGATGTTTTTTTTTTTTTGGTAGTTTATTAGCAGACATAAGAAATTTTGCCAAAAACTGGGAGCAATGGGTTGTTTCATCTTTGGAAAACTTGCCTGAAGCCCTAACTGACAAGAAAATACCGATTGTGAGAAGATTTGTATCTTCTCTGAAGCGACAAACATCTTTCTTACATCTTGCTCAGGTATGTGGGTCTGCTGAGAGTATTTGAGTCACCCAATCCAAGTGTGAAGCGACAGACTTAAGATAAATCTTTCCTGTGAGAAAGGCTAAGAGTTTCTTACAGATTGAGGGGAGCCAACTAGACACAAAAATACAGTGTGTACGTCTAAAGTCAATGTTAGAACTGAAACAGAATTGTTAAAGGAGTGAAAGTTGCATTATGGTTACAGTTTAGTTAGTACTACTGCACTGTACTGTCCAAATGTTAATTTTTGATTTGGGAAAAATGTAACACTTATAGAACATGATAAGAAGCTGAATGGAGAATATTCCGAAATTCTCTGCCTTCCTTTGCAACTTTTCTGTGATTTAAAATTATTGTGAAAGGTAACAAAGCAATCTGAACTTAACATTTACCTTGTGAATCATTTGTACAAATTAAATGTGGACAACATATTAAACGGCTACTAATCTGACTCTTTTAAACAGGGGAGAATAACAAAATCCTTACATTACAAATACGATTAGTATTCAATATACTTCTACCACCCTACATGATTGTTTCTATAAAGGTGTTTAGCCCCCCCAAATTTGAAATATAAGCTATGAAATATAATGTTTAAAAATTCAATTTTGTGACTATGGACGAGACAATTATTTTAATTTCTAAATTTGAAAATGAAATTTTAAATTATTAGTACAAGTGAGGTTCATGAGTCTCAGTGAATTTTAAAATAAAAAGTATCAATGATTCTTTTTATTCAAGGAATTACTTTTCTTCAAGCAGAAACTTCCATATGATAGATAATTAATGCCTTTTTATGTTCTCTGTGTAGATTGCCAGGCCAGCTCTCTTTGACCAACATGTTGTGAATTCCATGGTAGCTGATATTGAAAAGGTTGACTTGAATAGCATTGGGTCTCAGGCCCTCCTTACCATTTCAGGCAGCACAGACACGGAATCTGATCTCTACAGTGAACGTAAGTCTGTTTTCTTTATGAAGGACAAGACGTCTCAACTTTGGCACTATTGACAGCATAAGCTTTAACTCTGCCTCATGAAGACATGTGCTATAGGTTATGCATGCTCAGCAGAATGATACACACAACGTACCCCCTCTTAGGATTTTTTTTAAAGCAGTAGTGATGTTTGAACTCAGGTCTTTACATTTGGTAAGCAGGAAGTTTTCCACTGATCCAGGCCTCTAGATATCTTTTGCACTGGTTCTTTCTCTTTTTTTGGGGGGGGGTCCGGTCGTGGGGCCTGAACTCTGGGTCTGGGCGCTGTCCCTCAGCTCTTCAGCTCAAGGCTAGCACTCTACCACTTGAGCCACAGCACCACTTCCGGCTTTTTTCTTTTTTGCTTATGTGGTGCTGAGGAATCGAACCCAGGGCCTCTGGCATGCAAGGCAAGAGCTCTACCACTGAGCCACCTTCCCAGCCCCTGAACTGGTTATTTCTAAGATAAGAGTCCACTTTTTTTTTTTGGCCAAAAGACTTGAGCCTGGACCACAATTCACCTATTTTGTAATTCCTGTCATACCTAGGATAAAAGGTGCATGTCACTACGATTAGTTTATTCCTTTAAGCTGGAGTTTGCTTGATTTTTCTGGCTGGGCTGGCATTCATTTGCAACCCTCTTGATCTCAGCCTTCTAATTAGTTACATGAACTACTGAACAAGTACAGGCATGAACTATTGGCACTCAGCTACCATTCCCCCAGTTTTGACCATCAGTATCTTCAAATATTTCCAAATGTCCTCTGGGTACAAAATCACATCTGTCTGAAAAACACTTTCTATGGAATATATATTATTTAAATTTGTTCCCTCTATTTTGAAAGAGCTGTGCTTACTCATTATGGGAAACCTGAAAACTACAGAAAATGTTGAGAAAAATAACAGCATTTTAATACAAATAACTAGAAAGAATCAAAATGGCTTTGAGTTGAGAGTATTTTTCCAGTTCTTTGTTACATATTTGCAGTGTCATCACATAGTTGTGATGCATGATCAAAATGATATCCAAACACAACAATAGCCAAAGTGGAGACACCACATGTATTTGAGTTATTTAACAGATTTTACTCTGCATGGCTATACAAGACTTGGTTTCCAGAGGATAATTTCATCCCTTTCTCTCAGAAAAGACAAAAACTGCAAGCTCCTACAGAATATAGCACAGTGGGCGGCTGTCTAGAGCCTAACACCAGCCCCATATTTTGTTTCTTAACATAAAATGACATTACCCTTTGAGATTCAATGAACCTCTGACTCATAATGAAGTGCTAACCTTATAGTCTTCCTTTGAATTTGATGATAGAAGAGCCTCATGCAAATGGCTTGATTCTGCCATGCAGAATTTAATTTGCTAAAGCTAAAGGGTCTTTCAGAAAGCAAGAAATCAACAAGCTTAATTTGACTCATTTTTTTCTTTATCTTTCAAGGAATCTATTCCAAGTGATGAAACCACTGGATTAAAAATGATTATTAGTTTAAATTAATGTATGTGCCTTTAGAATATGCATGTGTGAGTGTGATATGTCTATATTTCAAGATCAAAATTTTGAAGACTAGAATACCAAGCATTTTGGGTTACTGTTTTTAGGACTTGACATTAATTGCTTTAATAAGGTTCAACTTAGTCTTTTATTTCTTTTTTTTTTAATCAATGATTCAGTTGTAGGTTTTTCTTTGGGATAAAAGTAGATGCAATATTCTGTCTTTTTTCTCTTCTTGTTTTGGTATTTAAGACGACTCTATCACTGTGTTCCAAGAGCTAAAGGATCTGCTTAAGAAGAACGCCACGGTGGAGGCTTTTATTGAATGGCTGGATACTGTGGTAGAACAGAGGGTTATAAAGGTACTTTTTGTGACAGACTTAGAAAATGCTTTATAAAAATACTCAAGTAGCAGTTACTGCTTGACTGGTGGGGAAAGGTGATAGGTTATGTGTCAAGAGGCTTAGGAAAAAGCATTTGAACCCCACAAATAAGACAAAATCAGGAATATGCCAGACATGAGAGTACTGGGCGTGGATTTTATTCTATTTCTCCTGTCTTAGCCAAGTGCTATGCGATGCTCGCCCCGCTCTGTCAGCCAGTGAAGTTACACATGACGAACATCATTAGTGGAAGACAAATTTCAGAAATGGGAGCAAAATCTGTCCCTTGCTTAAAAAGCAACTTTTCAAAAAAACTGACAGACAAAAAATGATTTTCTGCATTGGCAGTTCTAATTCTAAAAGCTCTGTAGGTTTTTAAAAATTTGGTTTCTTCAATTCTTTCAATTGCCCTTCATGTCGTTCTTCATGAAGCAAGGCAATGAGAACACATATTTTATTACTCATTGGTGTGAGTCATTCCACATCAAGTAAACTAATCCTAGGCTGGGGACATATTTTTTCTTTGGAAAGAAAAACAATATTGTCACTCAGGACCTGACAAGTATATTAATCATTCACAGAAATGTATAACTCATACTTCACACATGACCTCCTGTTTTTTTAAAGGTCTATCAAAACCTTTAAGGCTAAAAATTGGCTGCAAATAATTTATTCTGGTTGTCTAATTCTCTTAGGAGACAAAGCCATATAGAAGAAAGGCTTACTACTCTTAAAATAAAAACAAAGATAGGCTAAAATTAAAGTCTCCGGACAGATCATTTTAGTTGATGTCGTAAGTACCATGCCATGCCATCTGTCTCTCTGTCAGACAG